CCCCGGAGGAGGAATGCCCCCGGAGGAGGAATGCCCCCGGAGGAGGAATGCCCCCGGAGGAGGAATACCCCCGGAGGAGGAATGCCCCCGGAGGAGGAATGCCCCCAGCAGAATCACACCCAGCCCCGGCACTGCTCCCAGCCATGAGATCCATTCCCTCAGTGACCCCTCAGAGGCACAGAGTTCAGGCAAAAGCTGAAGGCAGTGGCTCTCACAGGCCAACCCAGCAACCGGGGGTGGGGACAGGGTAAGGCCAAAGGATTGCTATGAGCTCGAGACAACCTGGACTGCAGCAACACCGGCATTAAAAGGGGGTGGGGCTAAGTTAATGGTTCAGCGGTGAAGGGCACTGGCTGCTCTTCCAGAGGTCCTGAGTTCAATTCCCAGCAACCCCAAGGAGGCTCACAACCATCTGTAATGGGATCTGATTCACTCTTCTGGTGTGCCTGAAGACAGGTCACTCATATACTCTAAATAAATAAATATTTAAAAAAAAAAAAAAGGATATGGGCAGCATGGCCATGGTACACAAGTGACCCCAGGACAGTGGGACCAACCAGCCTTGGCTCAAGGTCAAGAACAGCTACCCTAGGGTCAGCCCTTAGGTAAGTCCTTTCCCCTTTCCAGACTCAGTCAAACTCAGGGGTGTCCTTTGACATCTGCTCAGGGATGGCAAGCAGGGCCAAGGGAGCCAGTGGGACAGGGACAGGCTTGAGCAGGTTTGTGTGGCCCTGTGATTGGTCTGTCATATAAAGGAGCTGTCTTCTAAACAACCCAGCTACAATTGGATTTTCTGTTTTGTTGGTTTGTTTTTCGGGCTTCCTGGAGCCCACACAGGCCTCAACCTCCAAGTGCTAGGATTACAGCTGTGAACTGCCATGTCCATTTCTGTGCCGCTGTGGATTGAACCCAGAGCTCTGCACACTGGGCAAGCACTGTGCCAGCTGAGCTGCATCCCCAGCCCCTCGGCTCTAGGTACCCTGGCCCCAGCTCATGGCCAGACTCTTCCCATTTGTGGTAACTCCACCGCCCCAGGGCTGAGTTTTCACCTGCTCTACCCAGCAAGGCCCACTTGCTTCAGCTCCAACCCGCCACCTTGGAGTCCTCGGGTTCAGGGGAGCAAGGTATGCAAGGCAAGGGTGCCTCTCTCCCCAAAGATTCAGACTTCTCCTCCATATGCCCTGCCCCTCTCTGGGGACTCGGTCCTGCCTGGCTGGAAAGATGTCACTGGCCAGCCTTCCAGAAGTGACATGGCTACCTACTGACCTCTTAGCTGTGGCCCCAGCCAGGCAGGACCACGAGTCCAGAGAAGCCCCCACCTTGAAGAGGTCCTGGCTGCTGGCCTGCTGGTCAGGTCTCTAGCACAGGTCATAGAGTCCTGGAATGTTCCAATGCCGGGAGTTCTGGGAAGAAGGCTGGCCCAGAGAGGGAGAGTGGGCCCCACCCAGGCCTCCCAGGACAGGGGGTGACATGGGGACCTGATGACATCAGCATGAGGAGAGCTGCCCTTCCCTCTTCTAACCAGTCTCCCTGCCTCTCTCCTAACCCTCCCCAACCCCAGTCAGGGACACTTGAGTTCGGATCTTCCCACCTCCCAGCTGACTATCATTAGTGACTCAACCTCTCAGGGCCTCAGTTTTTGTATCTGAGAAATGGGAATTGTTGCAGCTTCACACAAATCATGACATTGAAATGAAGTAACACATACAAGCACTGAGGGTACAGCTCTGCCCAGAACAAGCAGGCAACAAATACTGGCTATGGTCTTTGCTGTAAACTGCAATCACAAAGTCACTCAACAAACATATCTAATCTGATACAGGAGACACAGGGCAGAACCTGGAACCAGAGGAGGCGGTGGGGTCACAGACTGCCAAAAGGCCTGCTACCAAAAGAGATAGAAAGTAATGGGATAGGAGTGCAAAATGGACCTGGAATATGAAAAACAGTCAGACATTTGAAAAACAGTGGGAGAAGCATGTACTTGCCTGTAACATGAGCACTTCTCTGGACCAGCCTGGGCTAGAGAGATCTGGGCTAGCCTAGGCTAGAGACCATCTCAAGGAAAGAGACAGAGGGAGGCTGCTCTGGGTACAGACAGCAGGGTGTGGAGAGGGCGGGCTGTGGTTCCAGGCCGGGGAGGCATTGCTGGAGTCGGGCAGGAAGGACGGGGCCAGACCCGGAAGCAGGTTGCACCACCATGGCTGTCGTCATCCTCTCTTCCCTGCTTTGCGCCTTCTGCCTGTCTGCTCAGACACCCTTATCATGCCCACCTCTCCAGGCTCACGAAAAAAGACTCAAAGGGGTCTTCCTCACTCTCCGCTCAAGTCCCCTCACACCTCAAATCCAGCTCCTTCCTTGGAGAGGCCTGGGAAGCCCACAGTGGACACCACACTGAGGGCAACCCAAGGGTCCCTCGACACCCGGGGGCTGGCACGGGCTAGGGTCGTGGGCACCCTTTGTGTGCCACACTCACCCTAACACAGTGGAAGACACTGAAACACGGGCATGAAGTGACCGAGGCAGGGGTGGGGGCTGGGAGAGCCCCGGGGAGACCCACAAGGCTGCTCCACTACCCAGCCACTCAGGAGGCTGAAAGGAAGCTGGGCTCGTCAGAGGCGGCCCACCCACGGCCCAGGGAGGGGGCAGAGTGCAGCTGGGGTGGGGTATCCAGGAGGCCTCCCTGGCCCTGCACTAACCAGGACACAGCCCACAGCAGCGGTCTGGGGCGGGTAGCTGAAGAGCCCCAGCTCCCTCTGCCACTCCTGGCTCAGGCTATCTTGATGCTCTCTGCAACACCAGGTGTGGCCCTGGAAAAGGCAGCGCCCGCCCGCCCTCCACGGTGCTCTCCTGGGAGACCGAGATGGGGCTGACGCTCTTACCTGCAGGGGCTCTGGGCTAGACCCTGGTGAGCCTCTGCCTGAGACAAACTGAAATGGCTACGATGTGCTCACGACTGCCAGACTAGGTACACACGTGTTTATCTGTGTGTGCCTCTGTAATGTTACACGTATATGTGTGTGTGTGTGGGGGGGGTGTATTGTTTATGTACATGATCATAGGAACACACATCTGCATATGTATGTGGGGAGTAGGGGCAGGGTGCACACATCTGTGTGCACAAACTCTGGATGGGGGAATAGCGCCTGGAACACCTGGGCCCCTCTGTTACACCTTTTTTATTTGAGACAAAGTCTTATGTAGCCCAGCTGGATGCAATCCAGGGCTTCCTGGATCCTAGGCAGGCACTCTACCAACTGAACCACATCCTTAGCTGTGTGTTCCATGCCCAGCACCCACCACCCCCACTCTTCCTCACCCCTCCCACCCCCGCATGTACCAGCAGAAACCCAGAGCCTTCTAACCCTCAATGGGGGTGGGTGGGGGCAGGAAAGACACAAACCCCTCTGCCAGACAAGCCCAGCCCAGGGAGAGGCCCAGGGCCTGGGGGTAGGATGCCACACCCACCCTGACTGTCCAGCATGGAGAGCATGTCAGCCTCTTATCCTGAGAAATGTGGCAAAGGGGGCCACTAGCCGAAAATAGAAGGGAATTTTCCATAGGCCTTATAGCAAGTTCTGGAAGACTCCGGGAGCTCAACTGGGCACCAGGATGGCCTCCTCAGCCCCTCTACAGCCCATCCCAAAAACAAGTGCCCCGTCCCTGTACTCCATGGCCAGGCCCAGCACCTTCTGTGCTCTTGGCCTTAAAGTCCCCAGCTTCCAGGCTGGGCAGTGGTGGTGCACGCCTTTAATCCCAACACTTGGGAGGCAGAGGCAGGCAGATCTCTATAAGTTCGAGGCCAGTCTGGTCTACAAAGTTCTAGGACAGCCAGGACTGTTACACAGAGAAACGCTGTCTCGAAAGAAGAAGAAGGAGGAGAAAAAAAAGGCCCCAATTTGCAACATGTGCATCCCTCTCTCCCTTTTCAGTTTTTTGAGTCAGGATCTTACACTGCACAACCCAAGCTGTCCTCAAACTCATGGTAATCCTCCTGCCTCTGCTTCCCCTGGTGTGAGCCATCACACCCAGCTGGGAAATCTCTGGCACTAGGGAGTCAGGTGCTTACCCGAGGAGTGTGGGAGGTGGTTACACTTCAGTGAGAGGCGTGTGATTTATGGCTCCTCAAAGGAAGGAAATGGAGAGTCAAGGAACATGAGCTTGGGGCAGCTGGAGGCTTCATCCTTGGGCAAGGCCAGAACCTCCTGAAGCCTGTTCTGTACACTGAGGTGTCTAAAATCTTGTGTGGGTTTGTGGCCAGGGAAGGCTACTGCTGGGCACTGTACTGGGTCACTTTCCAGCCCAGAGCCTGGCCACTGCTGGCAGGGGGGTGGGTTAAAAACTCAGGTCACTCAGGCAAAGGGACAGAGCAGGCCACTAGAACTTCAGGGACCCTGCCATGGAGGGGGAAGCCAGTGCTTTTTCTGATGTCATAGGGGATTCATGGGCACCAGGTATTAGACTCCCCCTTCCTGCTAGCCTCACAGGTAGGCACTTCACCATTTCCCTGTCCCATGAGAAAACTGACAATAGATTCAGCAGCCAGGACTTCTCACACTTTAGTGCCCCCAGGGATCTCTGGCCAATGTCCAAAAGCAAACTCCAACTCCGCAGAAGTGGGCGGAGTTAACATGGCTCTGCCTGTCAGCTGGGTCGGTTGGTTGCTTTTCTGGTGCTGGGAAGCGGGATCTCGGGCCCTAGCACTGAGCTGCTCCCCCACCCCCAAGACTGCCTTTCTAAGGGGCTCTCAGACACAGCTGCCACTAAACTACCCAGCTCCCAAGAGGCAGGCCCTCTGGGGGAGGGGACACACATGGACAGACATGCTCACCCAGCACATGCAGAGGGCCAGGGCTCCAGGAGATTGCAAGGCTCATCTTCACCCCCACCCCGCCAGGCCGTAGTCTAACAGAAAAGAGCCCATGGCTGAGGACAGGGACAGACTGACCAGCTGAACCGGACACAGGGATCTGGGAGGGCACAGGGGTAGAGAAGGAGCCTGAGGTTTACAGCAGCCAGGCTGGCTAGCCACATGCTGCTCCATTGTTCTGGGAAGAGTGAATTCTAAGTGAAGAGAAGGGAGGGATACCAGGGGCGGGGCCATGAAACAGAGAAGAGCAAACAGCCGGGGATGAGGAGAGAATAAATACTCCAGTCCCTCCAGCAGCCCAGCTGGGGAACTCCCGCCTTCAAGTACAGGAACCAAAAGCAGTCCCTTCCAATAATACCACCTCAAGAACTCCCCCAGGAACGCCCATCCACGGGACAGAGGCCACCACTGCCCTAGGTCTCTGCAAGGCCAGGTGGACCCTGTTCTCCACCAAACCTAGCCCTGAATTCCTCCCCCTAACATTCTGCTCCACCCCCCACCCCCGGTTTCCTCATCTCCCAGCCTGACTCAACCATCTTCTCCCAGACCCACTAGTTCCCTGCTTCAGTTTGGGCTGGAAGCTGGAGAGATGGAGCCGCCACAATGCGGAGCAGGAGGTGAGCTTTAATAACAGTGGGCCCCATGGTGTGCACGGTCACCCTAGGGCCATGGAAGAACCCTTCCCTCCCACAGCTGCCAGATATGGGGCACAAAGCGAATCCCTGCCCTAGCACTCAGTAGGACAAAGAAAGCCAGCTCCTCCAAGCCTAGGCTGAGCCTAACCGCTGACTCAGATCCCAACACAGAAAAGATTCTGTTCTCACCCGGGGAGGGGGGGTTACTACGACAAGTGGAGGGTGTAAGCGCACATGGTGGCATCCAAGCTGTCACCCAAGAGGAGACGGTGACGGGAGACCAGACTCTGAGGAGACCCGTCCCAGAGCAAGGGATGGCTGAGAGAGGCTTAAAGGATCACTTAGGGACCCAGAGTCACAAATCAGCTAGAGAAAGAAGGTCCTTTGAAAAGTTTGAGCCCAACAGGACAAAAAAAATGGGGACATGGAACAATTAAACACAGATTTGTGGATTGGTTTTAAACATTGTTTTTGTTTAACCGGTTTGGTGTCTGGAGCCAAGGAAGACACTGAAATCCTGAATCCTACCTCTCCACCTCCCCAGTGCAGGGCTGCAGGCATCACTATTGACTTAATGAATCAATTATTTTTCACACTCCCTCTGACTTCAGCTTGGAGAACAGACTAAAAGCACCAAGGCTGGGCCATAGGAAGAGGGCAGCAGAATAGCCAGGAGGAGTCAAAGTAGCTCCTATTTCTCCGGGCAC